GGTGGAAAGAAAAGTAGAGATTCTAAGCCGCTAAGGAGAGGAATGGGCACTGGGAGGTACCCAGGAGGGCCTTGAAATGGTCTACGTGCCCATGACCTGGGTGCCAGTGTTGTAGGGACACACGAGGCAAGGCACCGAAGATAGCAGGAAACAGTTTTATTTGGCTGCAGCCAGGTCAAAGGGCACAGCTTTTGCTGTAATCAATCAATCTGCTGACTGATTCTGTATTAAGCAATCCTGAAAATGAAATTGAACTTTATGACTTTTCCCAAGGTAGTTTCAGAATTTTATACCCAGCATATAAGGGGAGGGGCTCAGAAATTCACAATCTGTAGAAGTTCACATAAAAGCAGTTTTTTTCTTTCCCTTTTCTAGGCAAGTTAACCCTTCAAGGACAACACCTGAGGAGGGGAGAGCTTCTTCTCCCCTTTCTTTCCTCCCCCTGCCAGCTGTTACCATGGAGCCCAATTGGTAATTTCTCTTATCTCAGAAATGTAGACATCTCTGTGAAGCCCCAGCTCAAGGCCAGAGACCTTGCTTACACATTTCTGCAAACTAATATACTGGATACATGTTTGTGAAAAACTAGTAAAGGGGTGTCCAGCACCTGGAGTGCTGGTGGTATCTTCCTGGCCAGTGGCCAAGTAAACAGGGCAACACGAAAATAGGAAGTTATCTACACTGAACTCCTTTGTAGAGACTCTTGCTGATAGTCCTAAAATCAGCCAGGGGATGATTTCTGGAGAAGCCCAGTTCAGAACTTTTCTGTGGAGAAAGGGGGTGCCACTACACCAGGACCCCTAAGCCTCACAGCAACAGCCTGTGCTACCTTGAAAATGCTCCAGTCCATGAGTGAGTGGCCCCAAGCCTGGAGGCCCAGCAGTGGGCCTTGACCTCTGCACTTGCTGGCTGTGCAGTCACAGGCAAAGCTCCTCGTTAAAAAACTGCTGTACATTAAAATCCCATGGGAGCCTTAAAGAGTACAGATCTGGGCCCCACCTCTGTCCAAGGGTACTGACCCTGGAGGTGGGACCTCAGTCGCAGATGTGCAGCATTGCTATGCAACCCTCTGCGATTCTGGCTTTTTCCTACCAGTTCATTCCACTGCCCACAAGATGGTGCCCTCTTTCTGAGAAATCTTCCATATTCACCAACAGAGCAACAATCCATTTTCTGTATAAAGCAATCCTGAAAAAATGAAATTGAATTTTATGACTTTTCCCAACATCTCATTAAGCCAGAATCCTGTGCCCTCAGCAGTTGCTATTTACTGAGTCTCTTTTCCCTTCTGCTACAAACCACGGGGTTGGGATGTGTCTTCAAAGGGTGATAATGCAAAGGAGAGGGTAGGCATTGAGTGCCGACTTACAATCACAATCACTAGTATCAATAACACCTAATATTCATTTAATCCTTTGTCATCTGCAAAATGCTTCTCACCAACTATCCTCAGAATGATCCTATAAAATGGTCATTATTATACACATTTATGAGATGAGAAAACTGAAGCTCTGAGCTCTCTGGTTCAAGGTCTAGGTAATAACTGGCAGAACTAAAAGTTACCATCCCAGACCTCGAGCTCTTTCCACTGCATCACAGAGGCGATAGCAACTGCTGGGGACTCAGAAAGTACAGCCCTGAGAGGAAACTTCTCAGGACATCCTCTGGAAGCAAGTCAGACAGATGTCATTCTGGAGCTTCAAGCCATCAGACCAAAGATCAGTAGTCAGAAGTATTTGACTGGACCACGTGGCCAACTGAGGTAACAGCTGTGAGGTTTCTAGGGAGATGCTGGACAAGTCAGCAGACACTCAACAGGAGGACAGATTTTATTATTTTTTATTTTGGGTTCCAGGAAAAATGAACTGCTATATGCTAATGAGAACAACTAATCTTAATTCTGTCTTAATAAAAAGTTATAAATTTGTTTCCAAAGAAAATTCTTTCTTTACCAGCAAGTGATGTCTTATATCAATGGATCTAACAAAGATAATTTACAAGATCACTTACAGACTTGCTGCCAGACTGATTTCCCTAATTGATCAGAAACTCAAGTGTCAGAGATGCCAGAGCCATCCCTCAGGGCATTTTATCTCAGATGAAGGGGCTGCATCTGTAGGTTCAAGCTGCGTGGACAAAGAAAGCTGCTTTCAGGACAGAAGCAATGAGATGGAAAATTTAATAAATTAGCATTTTGATAATTTTACTGATTTCTAATGTGTATCTTAGCAATTCAGTTTTCTGTGCATTAGCTTCCTGATTTATAAAATGATGACAATGATACCTATTTTTTTAGGGATCAAAAGAGTCTCCTTATTAAGTATTTAGAACTATGCCTAGGACACAGTAAGCATGATGTGTTTCTTAAGTAATGGATATGAGCACATCCACTTTTTTACAAGTGCAATTTTAATATTTTCGAAATCCCAACTAATTTTGAACTTCTGTTATTTGCATACTTGTACGTATAGAAAATATACTTCAGGAACATTAAAGTATTGCCTCAGGATTAAAATTTGAAATCCCACTGAAGATGCACATTTGATTAAAACAGTCTTTTTGGCTTCAGAAATCAGTTAATAATTCTTTAAGTCCACCATGTTATTTGTCTTGTGATTACTGTTAACAAATAAACCCATGCACTGCCTAAAGAAAAACAAGAGTAATACAATGATCAGATTTTTCTTTTTCTTCAAGAGGGGTTTTCCTTTATTCCATATATATATATATAAAATTTGTTGATGGACCTTTATTTTTATTTATTTGTATGCGGTGTTGAGAATCAAACCCAGTGCCTCATGCATGCTAGGCAAGCATGCTACCGCTGAGCCACAACCCCAGCCCTCCTTTATTCCTTCTTGACCCCCTGTTAAGTCTGGAAACTAGGGATCATTTTGGACTGCCCCCACAGCACTTTCCCCTGACTCTGGTGACTTCCTCAGCCTGGGTTTCTAGGTGAGTTGGGAGCCTTCTTTCACAGCAGTCTCAACTGAAGCTCCCTCTTTGAAAATACTTGCAAAACAATCCAAATAAGAGCGTGCGCTCTGAGGGGATATATGCAAACCCAGGGACAAAGATTGGACTGCTGAGGACAGCGAAGGGGCAGGACTCAGAAGAAAGGCACATGAATTGAAATGGAGTTTTCCAATCAAGTGGCTGTTTTTCATTTTGGTCTTACAGTTTAAGCATTTCTACTTAGAAAATCCAAAATCTGAAACGCTCCAAAACCTAACACCCTTTGAGTGTCAGGACACAAGGAATATTCCATCCCCAACATATGATGGGTCACATAGGCACACTAGAAATATTGTATAAAATTGCATTCAGTCTATGTATATGAGATTTATATGAAACATAAGTGGATTTTGTGTTTAGATTAGTATCCAATCTTTCTTTTTTTTTTTTGGCGGGGGGTATTGGGAATTGAACTCAGGGGTATTCTACCACTGAGCCACATCCCAGCCCTTTTGTATATTTTATTGAGAGACAGGACCTTGCTAAATTGCTGAAGCTGGCTTTGAACTTTTGATCCTCCTGCCTCAGCTTCCTGAGCTGCTGGGATTATAGGCATGCACCACCATGCCCAGTTAGACTTTTATTTTTCTTTCTTGCATGCTGTTTTATGAAATAGACTTTGTGGACAGGAGATGAGAATGAAGATGTACCATTTCCAGCCACCGAATCCCTTCTTATTCTCTCTTGATACCTAGTTCAAACCCAGTCAAATCCTTCCCAGGCCCTATCCCCACGCCACATACGCCCTACTTCTAGCTCAGAAAGATTCTGACAGGCCCAGGCTGGGGGAGGGAGAAAGAGGACGACAGAAGTGGGTACAGGCTCCATTTGTGGTGGTAGAATGTGCACTAAAATTTTACCCTGTGGAAATGCTATTTTAAAAGATGTTTAAAGTTTTTTAGTACCAGAACTACAAGGTAGCTACACTGGGAATTATAGAAGCTTCTGTGCATCAAACCAGGTTCTAACTAATATTCATCATTGTTTCTATGAAAAATGAAATTTTATTCCAAATATCTGACCTTTGATGAATGAACTTTTCCGACAGTATGGGAGTGGGACACTGGTCTACATGTACCCACACATTCAAGTACCGTTTCTTTTTCTGTTAATCACATTGTACATTTCTCTGTCTCTCCATAAATACCATTTTTTTTATTAAGGAACAGAATAGTATCAAAAGAAAATGTGAAAAGCAAAAAGTTAAGATTTAGGGATGGGGTGTGGTTCAGTGGTAAGCACTTGCCTACCAGACTCAAGGCCCTGGATTTAGTCCCCAGTACTACAGAAAACAGAAACCAAAAGAAACTAAGATATAAAGAATAAAGTTAAACATTTCATATTTATTGAGTTCAAAGCAATGGTTCTGATATAAATGCATCTTCACTGAGTTACAAAAATGAGTCAATACTAAACATGATCTCTTTTTCATAGCAAGAGTAGGAGGCAGTGTGAGATAAACACAGCACAAGTTTTGTAACTGTCAACTGTGACTCTCAAAAGACAAGCAACTTCACTTTTCTAAGCCTTAGTTTCTTGATCTGTAATCAGAGATGGTTATATTCACTTCCTAGGACCACTTCTTTAATTGACAAAATATAAATATCTTGCATTAAATCTAGCACATAGTGGTTATTTCTCATCCTCTCTCCTTGTATCTAATCTCTTTGGAATTCCCTGTTTTACTTCAATAAAAGTATTTTTAAACCTCATTTAGCTTTCAGAAGCCCTTATTTAAACTTTCCCTAGGACTGGGTATCCATCCATCTATCTGCTTGATTTACATTATCAGTTAATGTCCAAAACAGACTAATGTAGATGAATTCTTAAATACTAGGTAGGTTCAAACAGCCTACTTATTTTGATAATTGTAATCATTGTTTGAACTGATTCACCTAAACATACCCCCCCTCCCAAACAATCCTTGGTTTTCACAAGACTGTGGATTTTATTTTCTCCAATCCCCCAACCCCTACCCCCTGGCTCTGGATTCAAGATTCTTTGAAGAGTCTCAACCAGGATCATTTTTCTGAAAATAGTTAGCAAAGTCAGGTTTACTTAAATGAATTAAGAAATGAGCTCAATGAAGGACAAATCCGATTTTATTTAAAAGAGAACTGTCGGGTGTTCTTTCCTATTTACTATTAGGTCCAACTCTGCAGAATCAGCAGCAAGCGTGGGGAGTGGCATTCTGCAAAGAAAGCCAGTGTGGATGGACAGTGGAAGAAGGCATTGTTGACAATGATGAGCAGACGTCGGCTCTGTTGTTGGGATGTCTGTGACTCTGTCTCCTTCCAACACTCTCGATGATACTTTCTTGGTACCTGCCCTCCCACTGCCTGCAGAGGGTGAGGGCAGGGATCTGACTTGCTCCTGACTTGATGCTGTCATACTCCTCTTTGTCCAGGCAACTCTGTGTCACCATGAGACAAGGTCCTGCCTGCCAACCTTAACCCCAGGTTAAAGTCACACTTGTTCTGACATTAAGGAAACCTGAAGGCCTAGAGGGTTGATAATAATTCAAAGACAAAAACCTATGAAGAATCACACACATAGCCCATATTCTAAAACGTTATTCCCTTCAGTTTATAATAAGATCAGAAGGATTTGTTTTGAATTGAAATGGTTTATTTTTTGCTTTACCCTCTTATAAAAGATGTTTTCATAAGGTGAGATCACCATGCCACAAAAGCTTGGTGCTATCCAGACAATTTGCATTTACTGTATATTTATGCATTCAAGGTTCATTCAAGTAGTTCAATGTGAAGCTAAAATGTCTACTTTTACAGTAATCTTCAGGAGTGATGATTTTAATTTTGTGGTGCAGAAATAAGGCCACATAAATAGGCAAAAAGTACATCTATGAAAATGGTAAGTCTTTAACTTACTAATCCACTAAATCTTTGACAGTAATTTTAGATTAAAATGGTCCAGAGGACAAAGTGCATAATTAATGATGAGAAAATGATTCCTTCAAGTCTCACAATACAGAGTTCTCTCTGCATTAACCATTTGTCTCGTTTTATTCATGTGAAAGTGACAGTTACTTCTTGCTTCTGTCCCCTTCATTCCAGTACTGTTCAGTTTGCATTTCTGTGAGTCGGGAAATTGTGCGCTGAAATGCAAAGATTTCCTCTTCTCCAGTAAACATAGAGAGTCCTGCCGAGTCCTGGTCATAAAAAAAAAACACACAAAGAAAATCCCAGCACTAATTAAAATCACTCCAAGTGAAATTTACAGGACTAAGTACAGGTTTTAAAAAACTTTAGGTAAACCTATTTAGATTAAAAATTTTTAATATATTTTTTTCATATATGATCTTTCAAATTAGACTAGAGAGTCAACTATAGTCAAACCTATAAGCAATAGACAGAACAAATTACCAGGGAAAAAACTTAAAACAAAAAACATTACAAGAATAATTAAAGCTTAAATAATACTAGAAAATCCAAATATGAAAGATTTTGTTCAGAATGAGAGTTCTCTGCAAACCTCTAGGGACATTCCAGATAGAAAAGGAATTCTTTTTCCAAAAGTGCACATCAGAAATAAGTAATGGCATGAATAGTATTCTGCTAAGTTAGGAACAGGCTGAGATGTGCTTCTGAAGCTCACAGGCAGGGCCTACTGCCTAAGGTGGCTCCTTGAGGACAAACCACAAATAGCTTTTTCCCAACAGGGTGAGCAGATATCCACTCTGCCGCTGGCATATCTATGACTCTGCCTCCTCTGGACACTTTTGTTGGGTTCTGGTTCCTGGAGAATGTGCCTGGGATCTGACTTTGCAAAAACCAGAGCTGCTTTTGGTCCTCAGCTGCTGTGATACGTGGTCCCCTCATTGGAGGGAACACTGTCTCTGTGAGGCCCTTTAATAGCCTGGAACCAGTGATACCAATGTGGGCTCATGGCCATTAAGTGGCTTTGAATTTTCCTTTCTTTCATTAGGGTTTTCTATTATGCTCTTTCAGAGAAAAATTCTGGACCATCTTCTCTCTGATCCACTGTGAACCTTCGTGACCCAGAGGTCACATTTCCCCAATTTCTTCATATATTATTGACCCCAAGCACTGAGCTTACTTTGGTGTGTCCTGATCCCAGGAGGTAAAATTTGAAGGCCTATGATTAAATGACTTTAGAAATGATTTGATGTAATTCCTCAAGTATATTCTTTAAAAGACAATATTTGGATGTTTAAGTATTGTTCTTGGTTCTCCAAGAACCATTTCAAATGGTCCCAGCATAGGGGGTTTTAAGTAGCTAATTATTTCTACACTACTGTGATCTAAATATTTGTGTCCCTCTAAAATTCATATGTTCAAACCCTACCCCTTCCCCCACCCCAAGGTAATGGTATTAGTGGGTAGAGCCTTTAGAAGTTGATTAGGTCTTAAAGACAGAACCTTTAGGAATGGGATTAGTGACCTTAAAAAGAAGGTCCAGAGAGATCTCTCACTGCTTCCACCATGGAGGTTCTTATAAAAAGATGGTGATTTGTGAACCAGGAAGTGGGTCTTCACTAAAAACCAAATCTGGTACCTTGAATTTGAACTTCCCAGACTCCAGAAATAAATTTCTGTGAGAAATAAATTTCTGTGTATATAAACCACTTACTTCATGGTATTTTGTTATAGCAGCTTGAACAGACTAAGAAATACACATTTTTTAAAGCACTTTTTAAAAGAATTACAGGCTTTTTTGTCCCAAACTCCTGAGAATACATAATTTCTATTCAGGTCAATATGGAATGGGCCTACTCACTCCAAATGGGCTTTTACTTCTGGGGCTGGAAGAACAGGATCCTTAGCTTTGGAAGGAGTGTTAATAGCTTTAAATTTTGATTAATATTTCAGTTGTCTATAATTGGGAAATATACCCTGCAATGTTTTCACAGAGGAAAAAGTCACTTGTGTTTAGCCTGGGGTGAATCTAGACTCCAAGTTCCAGAAGAACTGGGCCAGAACCAATCTGTCCCTTACAGAGTGTCCCCAGAGCCTGGCACCCACAGATGCTTCATAAATGTTTGTTGCATAAAGGCTAGAGATAATCATAGATTTCTTTTTTTTAATATTTATTTTTTAGTTGTAGTTAGACACAATACCTTTATTTTATTTATTTTTATGTGGTGCTGAAGATCGAACCCAGGGCCTCGCACATGCTATAGGAGTGCTCTACCGCTGAGCCACAACCCCAGCCCCAATCATAGATTTCTTTTAAAGCTGGAGCCTTCCTGAGCACTCCACCATCCTGGTCAAGCCAGCCCATGCTCTTGGTGTGATACTCTATGAATCCAGCGATCACAAAGAAGGATATCCAGAAAAGGCATCATGGTGTAGCAGAATGAGCCTGGAACCAGACACCATTTCCTGGGGTCCACCTCTGGCCTGCCATTATCCAGCAGAGTGGCTGCGGGCCCATTAGTCTATCTCTCTAGACTTCATTTTTGCCAAATGCAAAACGAAGCATTGATCTGCACAATCACTAAGGTTTCTTATACTTTAAGATTGTAAATTAGTGATATTGAGAATGATAATAAGTCTGCTACACTGGCTTTAGAAGAAAGCAGCAAATCAATAGTTAACTATATATTGCATTCTTCAAAATGTAGCTAGGTATCAAACCAAAAACAATTAAGCTGTTTTATAATAAAAAGAGATTATGTTAATATTGCCTACCTGGCTCAGTCCCAAATCATCCATCAGTATTCTGCTTTGCTCCAACTCACTGTCATGATGTTGATGCAAAAATAAGCTTGATATAGGAGTCGTTGCGGAGCAAATTATGCGCACCTGAAATAGAGGAAAATGAGTAAATGGTGTTACTCTTTATATTTTACAAGTTGAAAGTAAGAAAAATCTCTCACAAAATAAAGATCTGTTTGTCACATCAGGAAGCTTGGATCTTTGCTTTGAAAATGTCCATAATTTTTCTAGTGCTTTGTAGTTAAATTATATTTTAAAAGTACATAATACTTTTCAAAATATTTCCAAATAGCTTATACCATGCTGTGAACTAAGGAGCAAACGTTTCAGTGAGAAACTTGAGAACTGCTGAGGTCTCAGCTCATGACATCAGCCCAGATCTTCTGGGTCTAATCTGATGTTTTTTTCCATTTCTGCCATGTTGGAATGTTTGTGTTCCCTCCAATTCATGTTGAAACTTAGTCCCAATGCCACACAGTATTAAGAGTTGGGGCCTACAGGAGAGAGTCACAAGAGCAACACAGGATCTGTCCAAGCCTTGATCTTGGACCCCCAACCTCCAGAACTGTGAGATATAAATTTCTATTATTTGTGAATTACCCAATCTACGGTATTCTGTCACAGTGCAAATGGACCAAGACCATCACACTCTGCTGCTGATCACATCTGCGCCAGGACACACTGTAAAGTAGCTACCACTTTGCTGCCCAGCTGACAGTTAAGTTCAGCATGTTAGTCCTCAACCCTGAGCTTCCAAAATGTACATTTATATCAACATCCTGCCAGAACATTCTTCAAAAAAGACTAAGATTTACATTAACGTTGCTTTATTACATAAGTATTTGAGTGAGCAGATATGTGTATGTGATCAGATACCAGAAACAGCTATACATCTTTTGTGCATTTTTTGGGCTGATGTCTGTCTACTAGTTTAAATATAAAACATACTCCTCTTGATGTTTAAAGAATTCTAGGTTTGTTTTCAGCTATCCCTTTAAAATCATTATTTAAATAAATACATCAATATTTTAAAAGAACATGTTGACATTTGAGACTAGCTTTCCCACATCCAAACAGCCTCCTACCCCTTCTTATAAATTCTTTTCATTACAAATGACACTTTTTTCATTATTTAGATGGCAATATCCTTATATCACAAATTTCTATGAATACACTCTAGAATAAAATCTATTTAATGTTCTCAAATTCTGAAATAAGATAACCTGGCCTATATTTTATAAAGATTATAATGTCTAAATGTGTGATTTAGTTATAACAAATGTTAAGAGAGTGGTCCATTACACTGCTAGAAAAATCCTTGTATGTTTAAATAAAGAAATGAAAAGTGGGAGTGAGGTGGGACTAGGGGTGGGACTGAGGGATGGGATCACAGGCTTTCTTTAAAGTATTTCCAGGTGAAATACAAAAATAATAAAATTCTTGATCCTCCAATCTAAGACTGACCTACTAATGCCTCTCCACCATTTCCTTCTTGAAGCCTTTGCCTGTAAGATCAGTGCCACCTCCAGGCTCATACTCTGGACCCCCTGTGATTAGTGGGGAGCAGTCTCTGCAGAAAGCAGACATTCATAGTCAATGGGCCTTGATCCCAGCTCCAGGACCTTGCCTCTGCTTCTCCTAACTTCCTGACCACAAGCGTGTCCATGAGCAGCAGTTGCTGTCCTTTGTGCTCAGCCCATCCATCCTGGGGCCCTGGCTGCAAACTCCCTGCCCTAGTTACCCTCTTTCATCCTGTGCATGGAGTTCAGCCCTCACTCCTTTTAGCATTTATATAAAACCCCTGTTCCAGGACCCATGCTGGGTCCTCATTTGATGGAGTGAGCTCTAGAATCTGGATTTTAAGTAGCCTGGACGATTCTAATGAAGATGGTCCTTAGAAGATTTCCCTGTGCCACCCTCACCTACCCCTTTCAGATCCCTGTGCTTTCCCCAGACTCTCAGTACCATAATGTCCAAAAAGTCACCCTGCAGTGGTGACTGAACATGGACTTCTGGGGCCATGTGAGTCACAGGTCTCTGACACAACTAAAAGCTCCAAGAAGGCAGGTGCTGTGACGGCTAATGTCACTTACTCCCAAATTTTATGGCTAATGTCACTTACTCCCAAATTTCTAGCACTGAGCACTGTGTCTGGCATGATAAAGATTATTGAATGAATGAGAAAATAAAATATTGAAACCTCACCTCACTCTTGCAGCATATTCTGTTTTTTTGTCTTCCCCCAAGTCCCCTTGATCTTATAATTACTGCTCTATTTAATTCTGTACAAGAAATAGGGAGTAAAACCATGTTTAAATTAACTCTAATTTAACATCATACACATATCTTTACTGACAATATATATTTACAGCTGTATACTATTAATTGTGGCTCACCTTTACTAAGAGTTTGCTATATGCCAGACAATGTTCTTACTACCTTACATACTCATTTCACCCTCACAAAATTCTTTTGAGTATCCTGTTCTTTTAGAGAAGGCAACTGAAGCTCAGAGAGGCTAACCCAGTCTTCAGGACAGACAGCCTGGCTCCAGCACGCACTCTTTTACCACTAAGCTACAATGCCTTTCATGAATGAGCAGTGGTTCTGCAATCCAGGTGGAAACACACGGGTCCCAACAAACAAACAACAAGATGGTATAATGCTAGTTTCTGGGTTTCTGGGTCATAGGGCAAGAGAATTCTAATATTGTTCATTCATTTTTCTACCATCCAACCATTTATTCAGGCCACACATATTTATTAAGCACTTGGTCTGGGCCAAGCATTGTGTTGATGATCATAGATGGTGCATGTGATCCTTCTGGTAGAAGAATGGAATCATTAACGCAGCAGAGTAATTGTGATGGGAGTCTGACTGTAAAACTGCTACTGCTACTAATGGTACTTGTACACCACTCAGCCTTGGCCAAATGTTGTTTCAAACACCTTAAATGGGTTAGCCTTTTCAGTCCTCATGACAACACTCTGAAATAAATCCTATTACAAGTCTGATTTGTAGACGAGGAAGCTGTGGCAGAGAGAGGAGAAGTAAGTGGTAGAGCCAGGATTCCAGGCCAGGAATCCTGGGTCACCTGGTTTTGCAATACAAAATGTGTAGTTTTGAGAAAATGTATTACAGCCTTACCTTGAAATCATAAAAGTTATCGATGAGAGTTATGAATCTTCGAGCTTGAGTCCTCTTTGCCAGCGTAAATTGTGGAATGTTTCGTAAAAATACTGTGTCAAAATTCCTAGATAGTTCCAAATAGTCACTGGCTCCAAGTGGCTATCATTAAAACAAAATAAACAAAAGAAAGAGATTAATACTGGTTGCCTTTGGGTTGGTTTAATTTGAAAACTCCTATCACTCTGATGTAGACAGTGGCTTTGGGGGTAATGACCAAAAGGGGCAGTGTTTTCAGACTAGGTTAAGGACACAGACAGTGGACCCTGTATTGCCTTAACAATGGTGTAAAATGTTGGCAAGAAAGAAGAGTGTGGTGGAAGTGAAAGAGTATTTCTGGCATAGTCTTAGCTGGTACCTTTTAGGAATCTGTCCTAAATCTAGTCTTTTATATTTTTATTTAGGACATAATTTTTTAATACTTATTTTTTAGTTGAACACAATACCTTTATTTTATTTATTTACTTTTTCTGTAGTGCTGAGGATGAAACCCAGGGCCTCGCATGTGCTAGGCAAGCACTCTACCACTGAGCCACAACCCCAGCCCTTTATGGCATCATTTTAAGTAGGCCTGCTACGGTTTGAATGTGAGGTGTCCCCCAAAGCTCATGTGTGAGACAATGCAAAAAAGTTTAGAGATAAAATATTGGGTCATCAGAATCTTAACCCAATCAGTACAAAGGGATTAACTGGGGTAATGCAGGTAGGGTGTGGCTAGAGAAGATGGGTTCCTGGGGGCATGCCTTTGGGGTATATATTTTGTCCTTGTTGAGCAGAGCTCGCTCGCGCTCTCTCTCTCTCTCTCTCTCTCTGCTTCCTGGTGCCATGTTCCAGTTGCTTTCCTCTGACACACCCTTGTACCATAATATTCTGCCTTCCCTCCAGCCCAGAGCAATGGAGTTGGCCATCTATGGACTGAGACCTCCGAAACTATGAGCCCCCAAATAAACTTTTCCTCCTTAAAATTATTCTCGTCGGGTCTTTTGGTCACAGCAGTGAAAAAGCTAAGGAAATGTCACCTCTGCTCACTTTAAGTTGTGTGTGATTGTACTCCATGAGTAACAAATCATGAGCAAGAGCATTTCTGGCCCTCTAGAATGTGAAAGATCAGAGACTGGGTGGCTCAGGTCCCTCTGAAAGCTCCTGGGTCACCAAGAGCAATCCCTAGGATGCAGGAGGCTGAGCTGCCTCAGTTTCAGGCCAATCCATCAATACTCCTTGCTGTCCAGAAATGCCTCACTTAGGGCTCCTTTGTCTGAAAACTTCATTCAGAAAGAATGCTATGGCCGAATTCCTGGGAGAATTAGGGGGTACAAGGGGGAGGAGTCATTCTTTCCTTAGCATCCATTTGTTTAAGCCTACCTTTCCTGATAGGACATTTCCTGATGTTCCTAGCCCCAAAGAATGTGTGTGCAGGTAGTTTTCATAATGTTCATGGGTTAAACAGATGTTCTAGGAACAAGAACTTTCAACCTGCAGGTAGAAATATTTTTGAGGATCTTAAGTCTTCACAATCCATGAAAGTCTGTTATACTCAGTACAGAGGTACAAGTCCTCAAGAAGACTAGAAAGGTGTAAGTAATTCAGACAGTTACGTTCTGGAGAAGGAGTTCCCTCAAGAGAGAAAGCATTTAAAACAGAGAGAGAGAGAGAGAGAGAGAGAGAGAGAGAGAGAGAGAG